TATCTTCGCTCAAAGTTAGAGCAATTCCTACTTTGATAGGCGTTTTGATTTTTCTCTAATTTTGAGCGAAGTTATCTTGACAACCACATGGCTAAATTCGATGAATTTTTTTTTATTTGAATTCTATGAATCTATAGAATTCAAATCTAAAAGGTTTTATCAGATTCAACCAGGTAGTTGTCAATATTTCTTCGCTCAAAATTTTTAAAATTTTTATTTTTATTGTGATATGCTTATATATCACATGGGGTGGCACTAACAAATTGGGAGGTGGCAATAACAACATTTATCGTTTATACATACCAGAATGATTGGTAGATACAAAAGGTGATGCGTTAATACCGCCAGTGTAAAGACGAATGTCATCATCTATTTCAGCCATAGATTTTGCCTTTGTTCCTAAAGATGTCAACGCCTGACAATAAAAATTAGTTTTTTATTAACCAACATTCGTATTGGCGTAATTAATGGAATATATACCTGAGCAAATAAAGGTAAATAAATTTTTAACTCATTCGGCAATCCATCGATTTTACTTATCATCCTAAAGTACGTAATTCCATTAGTTGCAGTAGTTCGCCATTGTACCGGACAATCTTCCAAAACATGATGTTCTAACGGAATCCGTTTCATTTCTCGTGATATATCTGAAACACGTAAACTTGGTAAAACCGATAAATCCTCTTCGGCTTCTTGGTTTTTAATTAGTTCAATAGACTGTTCATAAATTTTGTTCTTTTCTGATTCACTGAGAACAGAGGTTTTTGAAGATAATCTATCCTCTTCTTCTCGATTTAATTCGTCAGTATAGCGTGTATCAGGTTCCATTATACAGGTAAGAGTGTGAAGATTTGACAAGAAATATTTTTCCACCAGGTTTTGAAAGAATGGTTCACTTTTTATCCTTTCTTTTATAATTTCTATATTCTAAGAATATATATATATATTAAGCATTACTTACATAATTACAGAACTAAGAAGTAAATTTGTGAAAATTTGTAAAAAAAAAACCTTATTAATCTCTAAAATGTCAGCAGGATTGCAGCTATTAAACCATCCTGAACTTATACTGTGCATTAAGTTTAACCCAAAATTAGAGGTTTTCTATAATTATAAAATTTTTAAATATGTATAGAATCTTTTTTTTAAAAAAAAAAATAGATTTATGTACGTTTAAGTAGTTTGACCCACATGTTTTTTTCCTAATTCTGTTTGATGAAGAGCTGCTTCAATTCGTTTTGAATCAAATCCATTCCGATGAATATCTTCAAGAACTTTTCTTATTGTTTGTTCAGCCTAATTAAAATTAATATAAATAGTAATATATAATAATAAAAATAGTAACATGATATAAGTATATAAAATATGATAAAGTTTACCAAAGATATATCTTGTGATTTCATTCCTTGTAATCCAATAGATAAAGAACTTATTCTAAATTTTTTATTTGTCAACAAATATATTAACTATTAGTTATTTTGAATATAATTAAAGACTGTATTGGTTTTTTTTTTGTCTACCTTGTAGATGAATCATATCCAGTATTTTCTGAA